ACAACACCCAATACTGTAAAAGAAAACAGTAATTTAAAAATCTATTAAACTGCAATATGTCCTAGAAAATGTGTGTGACTGCCTCGGTTCCTCCTCCATTTTACTAAAGAAGAAACTGAGGCTCAGAGGCTAAGTAATTTGCACAGGGTCACACAGTAAGGGGCAGAGTTGACATTTAAACCTTACTTGACACTCTTCATCATTACTCTATGTGTGATTCTCATAGTGTGGTCTTTGGATCACCTGCAGTGCTTGTAAAAATGCAGATTCCAGGGTCTCATTTTATATCTCCTGAATTACAAATCTTAAGGGGTAGGTCCCAAGAATCTGCACTTTCCCTAGAATCTTCACAGGATTTAACATACAGATTTGAGAACCATTGTTCTAAAAATGAACCTTTAATGTATCCCATTACGTTTAATATATATACAGGGTTCACACACAGCTCTGCCACGGGCTGTCTTATGCTAGATGCTGAGTAGGCAAAGACAGGCCCTTCTAAGGAGCTCACAGTCTAGAAAGGAAGACAGACATGCAAACTGACAACCTTGATACCCTTGTGATATAAGCTGTGGGGTTTGGGAACACAGGGAAAGTGAATTATAGATGTAAAGACCTCTCCCCCACAAAGAGTTAAGTCCTGAAATACAGAAAACACTGCCCTGGATTGGACTGAAGACAAGGGAGACCTTGGCTCCTTCATCTCTGGGAACAGGGGTATGAGTGAGGAATGAACCCCCACAGAGGTAGAGCAGGGCAAAACCACTTTCACACAGATCCTGACCCCTCAACTAAAGGAGCAGACAATCTCCAGACGGAAGGGGTGGAGTTAAGGGGGTGGGGTGCATTTAGGGCCAAGGAGAGACTGGGGAGTTCACAGGAGTGAGGAGTCAGTAAGGCCACTCATGGCCAGTCACAGAGGACCATATACTGTGTTATTCCAGTTACATGAAATGTCTGGAATAGGCAAATCTTGAGATACAAAGTGGATTAGTGGTTGCCTATAGAAAATAAGGATTTGCTAATGGATAAGGATTTTCTTTTGGGGTTGATGAAAATATGAAAATATTCCACAACGGACTGTGGTGATGGTTGCACAATTCTGTGAATACACCAAAAAAACCCATTAAAAGATACATTTTAAATGGGTGAATTGTATCTTGTGTGAAATATATTTCAATTAAAAAATACTGTAAAGAAAATAATTACGTGGTGGTGCAACACTGAGTTATGCTTGAGATTTCAAGTCTTAGATCAAACTTAAAGCCATCAGATTTGATGATCTTGCCATTCGGAAGGCTGAGAAGATCTACTTTATGCCTGCCTTCAGGTCTGGAGTATTCATCTTCAGGCTGGAGTTTTGTGTCTGGCTTCTCTACTTAGCGTATTATTTGCAAAGTTCATTCATGTTGTAGCATGTGTCAAAAGTTCCAATCCATGGGCAAGCGGTATCTTTCCATTTATTTATATTCTCTATAATCTCCTTTAGCGGTGCTTTGCAGTTTTCCATGTACGTCCCTGTGGCTAAATTTCTTTCTAAGTATTTTTATTCCTTTTGATGCTATTATAAATACACGGGTTGTCTTAATTTCATTTTCAGAGCTTTCATTACTAGTATATAGAAATGCAAGTGATTTAGTATGTTGACCTTGTATCCTGCAACTCTGCTGAATTTTTTAGCTCTGAAGTTTTTATGTGAGTTCTTTAAAGTTTTCTAGATTTGAATCATGCCATCTGTAAACGGAGATAGTTTCACTTCTTCCTTCTCAATAGCTTTTATTTCCTTCTGTTGTCCAACTGCCCTAGCTAGAACTTTCAGGAAAACCCTGAATAGAAGTGTTAAGAGTGGACATCATTTCTGATTCCTGATCTTAAGGGGGAAAACTTTGTCTTTTACCATTAAGTATGATGTCAGCTGTAGGTTTTTCATAGATTCCCTTTAACAAATTGAGAAAGTTCCCTTCTATTCCTAATTAGTTCAGTGTTTTTATCATTAATGGATTTTTAATCTTGTCAAATACCTCTTCTGTGTTGACCGAGTGATTAGGTGGTTTTCCCTTTTATTCTATTGATAGTGTGTGTTACATTCATCATCATATGTTGAACAAACTTTGCGTTGCTTGAATAAATTCTACTTGGTCAAGGTGTATGGTTCTCTTTATTGGCTATTAAATGCTTGCCAGTATTTCACTGAGGATTTTTGCATAAGGAATATTGACTGACCCATAGTATTATTTTCTTGTGTCATCTTTTCCTGGCTTTGTTGTTAGGGTAATACTGCCCTCGCAGAACAAGTTAGGAAGTGTTCTCTGTTATATTTTTGGAAAAGTCTGAGAAAGAATGGTGTTAATTCTTCTTTTAAATATTTGGTAGCATTCACCATTGAAACCACCTGGTTCTGGACTTTTCTTTGTTGGAAGTTTTTTTATAACTAACTCAATCTCTTTTTGTTGTTGTAGGTCTATACAGATCTTCTTCTTGAATAAATTCTGATAGTTCGTGTATTTCTAGGAATTTCATTTCTTGCAGGGTATCCAATTTGTTGGCGTACAGTTGTTTATACTATTTCCTTTTAATCCTTTTTATTTCTTAAGGTCGTTAGGAATGTCCCCTTCTTTTATTCCTGGTTTTAGTAATTTCGATCTTTTTTTTTTCTTTGTCATTCGAGCTAAACGTTTGCCCATTTGTTGATCTTTTCAAAGAACCAACTCTTGGCTTCATTGATTTTCTCAATTATCTTTTCTGTTTCTTTCATTTCTGCTCTAATCTTTACTATTTTCTTCCATCTGACTGCCTTTGGCTTAGTTTATTCTTTTTTTTCTACTTTCTGAAAGTGGAAGGTTAGAGATTTTTCTTCTTTTAAAAAGGAGGTGTTTACACCTATAAACTTCTCTCTCAGAGCTGCTTTCTAGGCCTCTCATAAGTTTTGGTATTCTGTGTTTTCACTTTTGCTCTCCTGCATTTTCTAATTATCCTTGTGACTTATTCTTTGGCCCACTGGTTATTCAGAAGTATGGTTTAATTTCCACATTATCCTGTGTTAAAATTTTCTAATTTCATTCCATTGTGATCAGAAGAGATACTTTATATAATCTCAATCTTTTACAATTCATTGAGACGTGTTTTTTGACCCCACATATAGCCTATCCGGTAATGCTCTACGTGTACCTGAGAATGTGTACTCTGTTGTTGCACAGCCCTGTAGATCCAGTGGGGGTGTGCGTGCGTACTGAAGTATACAGTCGCATCTGTCCTTGCTGATTTTCTATCTAGTTAGATCCTGGTCATTTTCTTTTTTTTGCTAAGTCATTTTTTTTAATTGCAGTAAAATATAGCTAACATAAAATGTATCATTTTAGCCATCTTTAAATGTACAGCTCAGTGGCATTAAGTACATTCACACTGTTATGCAGGCATTACCATGTTCATCTCCAGAACTTTTTCATCCCGCAAAACTGAAACTCTGGCCCCATCTAACAACTCTCCATTAGCCCCTGCCCTTGGCCAATCCTGGCACCCACCGTTCTACTTTCTGTCTCTATGAATCTGATTTCTCCATGTGCCTCATATAAATGGAATCATACAGTATTTCTCTTTTTGTGGTATGGCTTGTTTCCTTTACTGTAATGTCTTCAAGGTTCATCCACACTGTAGCCTAAGTCAGAATTTCTTTCCTTTTTAAGGCTAAATAATATTCCACTGTATTGCATATACTACATTTTGTTTGTCCATTTGCCTATCGATGGACATTTGGGTAGCTTTCATGGTTTAGTTACTGTGAATAATGCTGCTCTGAATCTGGGTGTCCAAAAACCTATTTAAATCCATGTTTTCAATTCTTTTGGGCATCTATCCAGAAGTGGAATTGGGAGATATGAAAATTCTGTTTAATATTTTGAGGAAGTGCCATACATTTTCCACTATAGCCACACCATTTTACAATCCTGCCAATAGTGCACAGGTATCCAATTTCTACTCTTTGTCACCAACACAACTAGTCTCCTCTTTATCTAAATGGTAGCTGGGGATATATAGATAATTAGTAAATCCTCACTGACTATTATGACTTTCTGAGAATTGAAGTCCGGTACAATACCTTAGCTCTTTAAACTAAGTTGAAAATCACTGGCTGAATCATGTACAAATTTGTCTACAAGGGACTTATTTGTGGCAGATCTTCTCAGTCCATTCCTCCACTATTTCACTACCTCTTTCACAAAAAAACTGATCGTAAAAGTTGCAGCTAGTTCCTTTATGACATACATTTGATAAGATGAGGGCTGTGATAAGGCCAAGAATACAGAACTCTAACTCCTTCTTGTGATGTACTTCTGTGCAGCTGTACCACAATACGACAGCATCAGAAGCACTGGCTGCAGGCCGAGAAGAGTCTCTGTAACTGAAGTCATACGTGAGGACACTGGGAATCTAAGCTGTACTTTATAGCAGACTAATAATGGGTACATTTTAGGTTTCTGTTTTGTGAAGAATTAGAACTGCCTTTCTAAATGCCATATTTAACATCATTTAAAATACCTGAGTAAGATATTGAAAGAAAAAAGAGAGAGAGAGAGAGACCGAAAGACAGACAGGAGAGAGAAGGGCAGGTTACCAGGATGGTGCAGACGTGAAATGGTCAGGACACAAGGACAGCATGGTGGGAAGGAGGAAATGCTGCTGAGAAATAAACTTGCCAAAATAAAACCTTAAACACAGTATGAAAATAATTAAAGTAAAACAAGTATGTTTTCACTCTTAGCCCAGATGAGACCTCAGTAAGAGAATCTAACCAGGACTTAAGGTACCAGAAAGATGAGCGCATCTGGAAAGGTAAGAAACTATTTCATTCAAGTGGCATCGGTCCAGCATGGAGCGGGCTTACTGCCTCCTTGAAGTGCGGCGCGGTACTCGTTATTTCTCCTGTGACACGGGTGGTGCGCTGCAACACTCCAGCATTGTTTTCCAACTGCTCGTGTGGGACAGGAGAACCGTATGATTACCTGGTAGCCTTCTGTTTTCTTCTGACACCACTTCAGCAAGGCGTTCCTCTTTGAGCCTCCATATTCTCTTGCCAATGCTGAGAGCGGGTCCTTCCTTTCTTCCCTAGGTGAAAATAAGGAACCATTTATAAACCAGAAATCCCACAAAGAAGACAACAGTGTTGATTCGCATCCTTGAAGAGGGTAAGTACACATATTAAGGCATCTAATAGCAAAATTTATCTTTTCATTTGCTTGCATTTACCTATACAATTTCACAGGGTCCCCATAAACCACCTAAGGCAGTGGGTTTCTGCTCTCTGCATCCACATGGAAACTGGCAAAGATTCCATGCTGTGCGCATCCACAGTAACGGGTGCCTTCCAGGGTACTCAGACGAGGGGAAACAACCTAATACTGGCAGCATGTGAAAGTCGTCATGGCTGCCTTCCATTCACTATCTTACCCTTCCATAATCTTTATGTTTTAATTTTTTTTTTTACTCATTATTGTTTCCAACTTTTCACATCCTCAATCATTTCATCTTTTTTTAAAAACACAAAGGACAAGGTTATGCAAGGTGAAGGATTGTAAGGCATAGTTCCTGCCTTCAAAGTGCTTACAACTGGGGGAAGCAGTTAAGACAATAGATGACAATAAATTCTAAAAACATCTGTAATATGTCTCAAAAGTGTTTACTACTAACTTGTACATCTTTACTGACTGCAGGCACATCGAGTTCTACCTTGCATGGAAAAATGGGAGTTTCCTGTAAACTCACTCACTCATTTAGTACCTCCTTATAGAGCACTTCTGTGCCAGGCAGCATGCAGGTGCCAGGCAGTGGACAGTAAGTAACACAGGGTCCCTGCCCCTCAAGGAACTTCGGGGTTTACTATAGGATGGGCATATTAGAGATGCTTGAGGGAAAGTATCAGTGGCTATATATAACTCATTTCTTAAGTTATATGTAGAGTACTTTAGGGCACTAAAGTAGGCAGAATAAATACTCTGCCCCAGATAAACAACTGAATCAAAAATGATTTTGTGATTGCCCTGGTAATGAAGCAGGGGAGGCATACAATCTGACTCACCAGTAGCAAATCCTTCCTTCTAGTAGCTACTTTACAAGTCGAATGGAACACAGAGGGATACCTGGAGAGTGTGCTTTGTAAAATAACTGACCCTTAACAAAGAGCATACTTTAAATGCTTGGTCTATTTTTAAGTGATTACTTTATAAGTAAAACAGAGTCTAGCCCCACACCCCATAAACTTAGGCCAATAAGTGTCCTTGAGATTATTATGTTACAAGAGGTTTAATGTTCTTCAACACATTGATTCTGTCTGTATTTACCCTTCAAAGTATGTTAGGAAATCAAAGCATACCTTTGAACTAGGTTTAGCACCTAGAAGTGAACCTTTTCCAATGAAGTTCAAGGTGCAATGACATAGCACCCATTTTTATTTATCTTAATGCCAAAAGTAAAATACAAAACTACCTCAATATGCAGTTAGACTTTTACGTTCATGTGCCAGCCCACCAGATTCCTGCTCTAATTTAAAGGGTTCAAAGAAGTTGTTGTAATACCAACGGAACTTAGGAAAAGAGAGTAAAGGTAAAGATACGTCAGGAAATGCAAAAAGGCTCATATCAGTCCGTTATGTTATAAAAAATAGCTTAAGAGCATCAAAGCTGAGTGAACTCCCTGGACACAATAAGAAGCTACAGAAGGCAGCCTCCTAGAGCTGGAGGGTCGTCTCTTGTACCTTCTTCTTTTTAAGATGAGGAAACTAAGACTAGGAGGTGCCTGCTGGTCATTATAACTTCTAAGTGAAGGAGCTGGGAAGAATGGGTGCCCTTTCCACGGGGACGTGTGGGCAGCCTAACACCTAGGACAGAAAGACAGGCACGGACGTGTTCTTCCTTGCATCAGCTGGGGCACAGCGCGAGCCGTCCTCATCCCGGCGTCTTGTACTTGCTCCAATAGTGCTCTGCTAATAAGACTACTATCCTAAGAAGCTGGTTCTCTGGAGGCGGGGTTTTAAAAAGTAAGCATATAATTTGAGTCTGAGAGGCCAAAAATTCCATTTTATTTCAACTCTTTAAGTCAGCATATGGCTAAAGCTCTGAAACCCCCATTCTTATTCCTCCTCCAATTCTTCTTAATATGTCTTAACAGTTTTTCCTCATCCCTATAAATGACGCATGCTAAGCTATTTTTCCCTCTAAATTATAAATTCTTAGTCCCAAATGGCCTCTGACATAAGAGAAACACAAATTACATACACTGTTACATCTTCATGTATTGTTTTTATCAATGATCAGTGTAGCATCATGTTCTCAGCTTCCAGTCTAAACAATTAGAGCCATATTTGGTAGCTCTCATTCTTTTATTGTTTTTCTAAAAATCTGCTGCCAAAATTAATCATCTTTCCCTTTGAAAACCTCCTGGGTCCATCCCTCCCTTACATGTCCACTGGTAACACCCTGGTGCACGCTTGATAACTTTGTCCCAGGAACATAACGTCCTTGTAGCTGCATTCCCGAGTTGTACAGAACAGAAGAGTCCTTGAATCGTCTTCTCACATTAATGCATTTACACCACTTATAGCTGCTACTACATCAAGTGACATAGTTTGACTTTAAAGGGGGGTCCACTGCCTGGCCATACCCTACCTAGTCAATTTTTTCTTCCACTGCCCCAGGAGATAGGCCTTCTGTCCCATCCTCTGCAAGCACACTACCACCTACCCACAGTTCCCCAGCTCCTTGGTTATTCATCCTTCTGTATGTTCATTCAAGTCGCTGACCTTGTAATGACAGCCCGCCTTCTCCATCCGCGACCCTCAAAGCTCCAAATTTCATTAATCTAGACACCTTGCCTAACACTCCACTCACACCCAGTATACAAATTTCACAATACTTAGCTTTTGTATTCAACTATTTTCTAATTTAAAAAACCAAAACCAAAATAAACGCACCAAAAAAACACCCAAAAAACACTAGTTGCTTGGGGAAAGAAACTATCCCTTTATTTGTTTTACCTTTTCCTTCTATATCTTCTTACCCAATTCTGGGTATAGAAATCAGAAGACATTTAATAATAGAAAAGAAAGAAAAAAATTAGTGCTCGAATGCCACTATCTTACAACCTGATCATTTACTCTCAAAAGGTCAGGAAAGGTAGGCATAAAGTGCATCAGTATGAACTGCTGACTACCTTATCCGGCTTCGGGTCGTGGGCGTCACGGACGCTGTGGGAGAGGAGGACAGGGAGAGCTGTGGTGACGTGGTTCCCATAGCCATGAGGGAGGCCGGCGATGCTCCCTCGGGTGCGGAGATGTCTCGCTTCATCTCTTCACTACTTCTTCGAGACACTGATTAGGAGAAACAGCCGTTAGGCATTTTACAGGAAAACATTTTAAACTGAGTGCTTAAGACACTTTCTTCAGTAGATTTCAAAATGAGAGAAATTACAAAAGGAAAAATTTACACCATCTTTATCTGATAACTTGAAAGGATTTTTTTCACTTAAAAAACTGTTAAGAAAGGTTCAGTAGGTAAAATATGCATTGAACCCCACCTTGCCCAAAGGCACAGAGTGCGTCTTACCCACCCCTGTAACACTCACAGTACCTACCTACCGAGCACAGTAAGTACTCCATGAACATTCATTTAACCACAAATACAACTGAAAATCAAAGGCTAATGAACCAATACTTGGAACTACTTGCTCTCAACTAAAGTCAACACAACCCTTCAGAACTCAGCCAAAACGCTGTCCAAGGGAAAGGAAGGGAAGAGATACTTCAATACAAGGCTGCACTGAATTCTGGATCAATTCTCATAATTTATGGGTATATGAGTGCATATACATGTTAAGATAAATCAAGCTGTACACTAACATTTCTGCATTTTATTGTATGTATCTCAATATAAAAATTTTAATGTAAACAGAAAAAAAGGAAATCTTTTAAAACATTTTTTAAATAAAATTAAAAATAAGTAAAAAACAACTAATGAGACAAACAGAAAGCCAAAAGGTGGCAAGTCAACTACTGAGAAACAAGGACAGTCAGAAAAGTCCTATTTTGAAAAGTCTGGCATAGTAAGACACAGCACCTTGTTAGAATTACAGAAGTTCTGAGAACCGTGAAGTGGAAGTAGCCGCTTCAGCTGTTGAAAACAGAACCACAAAAAAAGCAACTTTCTAGCAAGAAAGTGCTGAGTATGAACAGGTGAGCTGCACACAGTGAGAAGTACGGTGTGAGACAAAGTCCCTGACCTCAGAAAAATTCTCTGTCGCAGCAGAAGATGCTGGACATGCATGAGCCACACATTGCATCACCCTGGGCTGTGGTATAGTCTGTGTCATAATCATCAGTAATTTCTCCCCCAATTACTAAAACTACCCCCTTTTATTGGCTGAAATTTTGTTGATGATTTGAGGTAACCACAAGTAGAAAATAACTCTGTATTAGTAAACTGATGTTTTTAAAGATCCAAAGACAGATGCTTTCTCCTATTACATGATCTTATTAGAATGATGCACTTAAATATTTCAGATATAATTTTGTAATTATTCTTGTTTTTTCTTTCAATGTCAGATCTCTGTATGCCTTACATCAGTAGTTTGTTTTAAGTGGTGTGCTAGGAAATTGGATAAGACCTTTCAGAATTTCATAGAAAATTAAGGAAACAGAAAGACTTGGAAAAACTCTATTATAGGAAAGGGCTTTAGGATGGTGATTTTGGCTGGACTTCCCACTGATTTAAAGACCCAGCTGTGATGTATAAACACTGTACTAACTTAAATCAATGTACAAGTGGGATGTTACCTGTATGAGGCAGAGCTACAGGAATTTTTCTTTTCCTGGTCTAATTTCTACTGACCTATTAAAAGGGAAAATAATGTGAACAACTGATAACTGAGAGGCAGCTCTAGGAGACAAAGTGAGGCCATCAAATTCACCATTATAGGATGGCTTTACTGTACTGGGAAAATCTGGCTTCCAGAGAATTTTCGGTGTTCTCTGAAATAACTCTAACACAGTCATGACACACATGGGATAAATATTCTCATCTTTCACAACTGTATCAACTTTATATGAAGCTGTATTTTCAGTACATCATCAAACCCACTCTAGGCACATAATAAATACTATTAAATGAGTGGAACTATCTGGTTTTGGGGGTTTAGTTGTTGTTAATCAGGGCCATGAAATGTGATTTCTGTAGAATCTGGGAGATACAACAGGGGAAATTCAGAGTGGAAATGATCAACTCAAGAGCCTTAAGGGGGCAAGTACAGGTAAACAGGTCTAAAGAGCAAGTATTCAGTGCCATTACTAAAACTTCTGTAAGTCTCTTTAAAGGAAATTTCAGACAAAGCCATTACCTGAGATGGCCTTGGCACTTTCCATCGCAGGTACTCTCGGTAGTGAAGCTGGTCGGCTGGTTGAAGAGGTTCTTAATAGATGCTCTGCGCAAAGAGGAAAGGGCCACAATAAGGGGATCTGCCCAGGAAGAGGGAAGGCGCGAGGCAGCAGGAGGGTGCGTGTTCCTCCTGGCATCTTGAGGGCACATCCTCCTCTCCCAATCCAGGGTACCTCCACAATTCCCACAGAGCCCATTTAAACAACTTCCGTAGACCAGGAACATGGGAGAACATTTCATTCAATGTTTAATTTCTAAATATTTATTTCTATGAAACCTTTGACACAGATGAGTGCTTCTAAATCACTAACTGCTACCTACCTCTTTGATGCAATTCAACCAAAATCCAAAGATTCTGTATGTGTCTTGATCTAAAAGCACAGACTAAATGAAAACCTTGTCCTTAAGTGGGGAAGCCATACATATATACTACCAGTCAGGTTGGGGTATCAGAATAACAGTGATAAAGTGCTATCAAACCACAGAGGGAGAAGCCAGTCACTTTGATTTCAGGCAGCAGGGAGGCTTCAACAAAATGACAAGAAGCTGGCCTTTACTAGTAGAGAAGAGGGTGGGGAACAGTATTTCAGCCAGGCAATAACCAGAGCAAAGGCATTCAAGTTGGAGAACAATAAAATCCCAGTGTGGCTGAAATAGGGGGCCTATGGAAACCACAGAGGGCAGCAGGAAAGGGGGCTTTAAAGGCTGACTAACAAGAGCCTCCATTCCCTGGTATGTGGACTTTAGCCTGAGGGAAACAAGGACGTGTCGGACGTCCTTGAACATTTAGAGAAGGACACCACCAGATGCTGCCTCCGTCTATGTCTGCAGCCTCACCTGTTCTCCTCCTCCCTTGCTTTCCAGACACAAGCAAGCTGTCCTGGAAGTTCTCCGAGTTCTCGAAGGTTGGCACTAGCTGTTCGCTTGCCCCTACACTCCTCCTCCACTCCCTCCTCGGCCTGGTGAGCTTGATCCTCCTCTGGGTCTAGCTTCAGCATCACTTCCTCCAGACCTTCCTCCCTCGTGGTGGGAGCTCCCCACCCCCAGACCAGCACTCTCCTTACCCAGGGCTACGAGCCTGACAAAAGGGCTGTCAGGCCAGGATGACGGCAGAATGGAGGTGTACTGCCTGGCGGGGGAGAGCAGGACGAGGGAAATCGTCATCCCTTATACTTAATGAAGACTATTAGTCTCACTGTCCAAGAATGTCCCCTACAGCAAATGTATTTCACAAGGGGAAGGCAATACTGACCATGCACTAGTGAAACAGGTCTTCACCACTTCTTTTTAAGAACTGACAATTTAAAAAATTCTTTCCTTCAAAATATGATGTTGAAAGTAATAGCACATGACATTGTCTTCCAAGCACAGCACATCTTTTATCCCAAAAAGTATTTTCTAAGCATATGAGGAAAATTTGGTTGTAATTACACACTATTTTGGAGGGGAAGGGCGTGGGAAAGATCAATGTACTTTCTTATAAAGACAGAACTTACACAACCTATAGTCATTACATCTTTCTTATATTGAACAAACTTCACCTCTGTGCAAAGAACCTACAAGCAATATGGGAGTTCAGAAGTCAGCATGCATATGTAGTTTTGGAAATTATTAGCATATAGCTGATGGGGTGAGAAGTGAACCTGGAGAGATGAGGGTATGGTGACCTTAGAGAAATTTCATACAGTGGAGGGGACAAACGGAAAGAAGGTGATGAGGAGTGATTGGAAGATAGGACGGAGATGAGCTGTGCACGGGTGACAGAGGGTATAGCAGCTGGAGGAGGTGGGGAGAGAGGGCGATTTTTTTTCTCAACATTGGAAAAAGATGTGAAAGAGAGGGTAAAGTTAAAGCTACAGACGGGCGTAATAGCATGAGGCTAGCAGTATCTGTGAAGACCCAAGGGGATGAGATCCAGGGCTCAGATAAAGGGACAAACCTACGGAGATATTCTGCTCACTTCTGACAAGACACGTAGCAATACCATGAGCCTATTAGGTCTGCTATTTAATTCTCTCCTATTTTAAGAAATCAGAGAAATAAATAGGTACAGGGAGTTGTCCACTTATTGTTTCCCAAATCAAATTTATATGCAAAAGAGTGGGTTTAAAAATAGCAGCCTAAATATCCAACTTCTTTTCACAGAGTAGTTTCAAATTGATCAATGCTCCTAACCAGAAAACAGCCACAAAATCTTGAAAAAATACGAAAATCAACTGCCTATCTATAGGAACTGAAGAGAATTCAACAGCAGGCAGGAAATGAAAGGAGTCTACAGTAGGAAGAATAAGCAGCACCAGGTTTCCTGGTTTTATGAGTTTGCCAGTTTTACGGCCATGGGTATGAATGTGGGCCCCAGCTGGGACCATGTAGGGGAGCTAAAATTTGTTGGAAAATCCATAGCCTTACAGACTTGAAGAAGCAGAGGACATGTTTCAGGACAATTAAAACATACTGCAAAGGGAGGGAGTAGGGGAAATACCAGAACGAAAAGAGACATATTCTGCATGTAAACTCTGCCCACATATCCCACTGACCTCTGAAATCCACAAGCACACAGATGACAAGGAGTTGAATTAAGGATATAATAACTCAACAGGTATTTCAACTGAAGTAAGAGGCTGGAGTCTAAGGTGAGCCAAGTAAACTGCTTGCTAACAAAAACCAGTTTTCTGCAGAGGAACAAAATAGAATCCAGAATCTCTACAATGAGGAATTCACACTGCCCAGGATACAATCTAAAATTACTGGACATACAAAGAAAGAAAAAGGAAAGAGTGATCTATAATCAAAAAAGAAATGGAAACCTACTCGAAGACGATGTACATGTTGGAATCAGTAGAGAAGAATTCTAAAGCAGCTATTACAAATATTCTCAACATAATAAAAGAAAACATGTTCTGAAGAAATGAACAAATACAAAATCTCTGCTGAAAGAGTTAGGAGAGTATGAGACAGGTCCTCCCTGAGATGCAATGCAAAAGACAGCCTAAAGCTAAAGCTAGAGCAGATACTGAAAAAACCTCCTGCAACAGCAGCCCCACTCTAAATAAAACGTTACTAGAGCAACTGGAAGCCTGACATGCACTGAGGACATCCGAGGAACAACAAAACAAACCCAGATCAGCTCCCGGGTAGATGAATCCAAACTCCCACACTAGCAGGAAGAGGCGCCCATGTCAAGGTGCGACAGTAATTTACTGTCCTATACAAGATGTCCAACTTTTAACAAAGAATTATAAAATATACAAAAAGCAAGAAAAAAACCAATACATACAGTTCACTACATCAAAACACAAAGCAACCAATAAAACCTGGCTCATACACAGCACAGATGTTGGAACTATGTGACAGGACGTTTAAGATAATGAAGATTAACATATTAAAGCCTCTAATGGAAATAGACAACATGCAAGATCAGTAGGATTTCCTATTTCATTTTTTCTTACAGTTTCCTTCGCTCTGCTGAAATTAGACTGATCTGTGAGAACCATGTCTCTGCTTCTCCACTGGGGGAAATTTTGCCAATATGCCAATGTCTTGAGGCATTTTTGATTGTCACAAGAGGTGAGGCGGAGGCACTTACTAGCACCCTAGAGGGTGCTTCTTATCTAGTGGTTAGAGGCCACAGACGCTACTAAGAAAGAGTCCTACATACAATGCATGGAACAGTAAATTTTACTGTATAGAAACTTTAAAAAAGAAATCAACTGTAACTGGGGGAGTGAGGGGATGGAATGGAGACAGTGACAAAATTAATCCAACCATACTACAAAAGCATGACATAACCACACTGAGAGTGGTAAAAAAAGGAACTGACCTAAGTAAATTGGAGAAAAAAGCTTTCTTGACTGGATACTCTAAGGTTAAACAGAAAAAGAACTGTATATATACACCATACTTTGGTAATTGGCTTCTCACAGGGGTATGGCCTGGCAATTTTGAAACTACTGCTTTGAAACTATGTATACCAGGGCCCAACAAATAAATACATTGTAGATAAAGGGAGCCAGGTTTCTTACTGTCAAGAGAAATTAGTTACAAATAAGGAAAGCTCCCCAAAAGGCTGAAATGCACCTTACTGTGCTAGCTTAGAGTCAGAAGTATCAGTATAAAGTCATGGTTTTGATACAGATACAGAAAGAACAGTTACATATGGGCACATGTGGGTTGCTACACATACATACAATTTCCCAGCTTATGTAGAGAAGGACGGGCAGAGGTAAAATCTCAAAAGCAATGAGCACATGCACACCTAGCACCCAAATCTTGGAATAATTTGGAAACAAAATAAATAAAATAGTAACAGACTATAACCCAAAGAAAAAATTAATATGCATGTATTCATACCAATACAGTAAATGCTAAAAATATAATAATATAATATACATAATTCCTTAGAGAAAGAACAAGGAAATGGAAAATCACTGCAGGCTACCCCAGTAATAACTGCTGCTGGCAAAATGCACAAACAGATGTGAAAATCAGTGAGAGAAAGTTTAAGCTGGACTAGTATATTTATTAATTATTAGCAAACAACCACCCTAGCCAAGAGATTGTGGTCAACATCACCAGTAATAAGACAAATCAACATTATGTGCACCCAATATGACACCCTTAGAAGGGCACATGCCCTCTGTTGTAGCTTTCTCAGGAATTCATAACCTCAACCTAATCAGGAGAAAGTATCAAACCTACACTTAAATATTCTAAAAATAACTGACTAATATCCTTCAAAAGTGTCAAGGTCACAAAAGACAGAGAAAGACCAATAAAACTCCAGACTGGTGGAGATTTAAGGAGATAAGACAACTAACTGCAAAGTGGGATCCTGGATTTGGTCCTGGAATAGAAAAAGGACATCAGTGGGAAAACTGGTAAAATAACGTCTATAATTAATGATATTTCAGTGATAATGATTTCTTACTGCTGATAATTATTCTATGTTCATGTAGGATGTTCACATAAAGGAAGCTGGGTGAAGGGTTTAAGAGAACTCAATAAATTTGTATCTCTTCTGTAAGTCTGAACTTACCTCAAAAGGAG